ATAAATTTCTCATCATGATGTTGTTTTCGGGCTAATAATTGTTGAAAAATGGCGGTACGAGTAGGTTCTGGTGGTGGTGGATAATTGGCACGCACTGCTGCTTTAAAAGCAGCCCATGTGGTTATGTTCTGTACTTGTGTCAGATACCATTTTAAAGCTTCACTAGTTAGAAATTGTACTGACCATTTAAGTTGTTGTAATTCATCGAAATTTAATGGAAAAAATTTTACGTGTAACAGTCTTAACCAGTCATCAATATTTTCGTTCTTCTGGCAAGAAAATTTTGGAAAATCTTTAATGATGGCATCGAACATTAAATCATCAGTGTTCGTCATTGTGACAGTATTATTGGTAATGGATTGTGTAGCTTCTATAGCTGTGGGTAGTTGTCGGTATATTCGTCCACTTCGCGTTGACATAGAATTAATGAATAATACTGTGGTATCAGTTCGGCTAGTGCACCATTGTTATACCCATCTCCTTTTATTCCGACAATACAATCAGAAAAAACAAAAAACTCCCTTCTGTAGAGAAAACCTCACAATATATATACGTGAGAGAGAGAGAGAAAAGAATCTGAACACAATGAATGTAGCTATGATAAGAGAAGGAATGATGACAGAGAGAAGGAATGATGACAAAGAGAAGGAATGATGACAGAGAGAAGGAATGATGACAAAGAGAATGCTATTTGGGAGAGCCATGACTTATGCCAGTAACGACTGACATAACAACCGCGTACCATCCGAATTGAATCAACGAGACCCAATCGAACTACATCAGCACACACAAGAAAGAAGGGGTGGGAAATACGACGCGACAAGAAAAATGAACAAATAAAGCAAGCGTGCTCGTCATCGTACTATGTTGCACCAAGTGAATTCCAGGTTTATCACATTGACAAAGAAACATCAGAAACAACTATTGATTATCTAATCGAAACAGCACATCAAACAAATGCTGTTACTGTCGACACAGAGTCCGATCACTACACCGATGAACCTGCGTTTGTCCAAGTTCAATTAATTCGTATAAATGGTCCATCACCTATTATCTTGTTCGAATGCGCCCATTTACCTCCGTCCACATCGTCTCTGTTTAAACAAATCCAACGGCTGTCATTAGCTATTTTTAACAGTGGTAGAACGGTTTATTCTTGGGGTGAATTGCGGAAAGAGTTTGAACCTTTTCAGTGTTTTCAATTATTTCGATTACCGTATGATACAAAATTGGTTAACATCCAGGGAGGCTTTAAAACGTGGTACAATAAATTCAACTTTGTCGAACAAAATTTGACATTGGAAGACGATGAACCTGATGTCTTGATAGTCAACGTTCCAAAGTACGAAGTCAATTCATTCGTCCACTCCATTGACACCAGCGCTTATCGAGATCCCAACAATGCTTGGTCACTTCAGAAAGCAATTGCTGTCACTTTTGGAACGTTCCTTGATAAACGATTAACATTAAGTCGATGGGCATGTGGGCTCGATCCGAAATTACAAACATGGATGACATCTGAGCTAACAGGTCAAGGTGAATGGAATAAACAACAAGTCGAAAACTACGAAGCGACGTTTGAACAATTAATTAGAAGATCAACCGTTACAGAACCGACAACAATTAAATCGGTCGATGTCCTGGTAGATCATGTTCCAGATGATCTACTAGTCTCGACAGATGTTTTGGCTGCTCAAGTTCTAAATGATCGGTCGATCTCCACAAAAACCACAACCACACGGACATGGAAACACAAGACTCCGCACCGAACAGAACGCGATCGCAAGCGACGAAGTCATAAAACAAGTATCAGAATGCGCCGGAAACGCTACACATATGAAGTAATACGAGACATATTTGAACGGTTTTCGATTAGCAACGTCAAATCCGTATTACGGTCCTTGAGAATTAAATGGGTCAATGTTCATCTCGTTCGCCATCGCATGTTTCTTGGTTTGAAAGATGATACAACACGGATACAGTGTGAACAACGCCTAACAGAAGAATTCTTTACAGAAAATCATTATCGGGCGTTGTATCGAGTATCATGACATACCCAACACAAGTACAAGTAACAGTTTCGAAAAGGAAAGGACATTTTGTGCACTTTTAAAATTCTTTTGTTGTTCTGCATAACATTTCGTCTTTAGGCTTATTTTGGCTTGGCTTATTTTGGCTTGGCTTATTTTGGCTTGGCTTATTTTGGGATGGCATTTTTGGGACAGTTACTTTTTCAAGACATAAACAGTTGCTCTCTCAGCTGACCATTTTGCTTTTAAACTCTAGTGTGCGCGGACACACACAGTTTTTTTGCGGGGAGGACTGTTAGCGGCACGTGCCGCAAACACAGGATGTCACGTTCTTTTCTTGTCCTGTCCAGGTCGTTCACAATGGACATTCTTTTTTTCAGTTCTTTTCTTTCTTTGTATATTTTAAAATATATACATTTAGTTTACATCACAGTACGGTCGCATATTTTTGCGAAATCGTAAGAGGAGAAGCAGTGTTTTTTCTGAGTGGTTTTTTCACTGCTAGTGTAAGCAGACGCTTACAAGGAATAACTCTGAAAGTTAAAGATGTCAGATGAAGTTTCTATGTACACATACTAACATTTTCTTCTGCTTACGATCTAATACATCTGGCGCATTTTATTTTATTTGAGTAAATTCTTGAATAACGTTTTGCTGTGGAACGAAGGCTAA